TTGCTGAGCCCACCGCGAGCCTTGAGCTCCCCGCGTCCTCTGGGCGGAAAGGGCAGAGCGCCAGAGGCCTCGGACAGGAGCCCTGGAGGGCCTAAGGAGCCTGCGCAGCGGGGCGCGGGCGGACTCCGCGCTCCGTCACTGCCCCCTCAGCATGGCTGCTGCTGTCTTGGGGGCTGCTCCCCGGCCGCCTTCCTGGGACTGCCTCATAGTCAGGCTGGCCGAAGTGGCTGCCAGGTTCCTGGTTTTCTGCCCGATCACATCCAGGATTTTCCCAAATTTGTCGTACTCCTTCTTCCACCGGGACATCTTCCTCTGCTGGTCGCCCGTGAACTTCTTCTTCAGGTGCTCGTAGAAGTGGCCGGTCTTCTTCTGAGTCTCCTCCAAGTGCCTCACCTGGCAGAGGAGAAAGCCAGCGGGTTTCAGCTGCTCTAGAGGTGCCCCGGGGCCCGCTGCGCCGTAGTCGGGGGCTGTACGCCCTTGTGGCCTGGGCCCACGCTGGCGGGCAGTCACTGGTGGCTGTGTGGGCTGTGGCTGACCCCTGCTGGCCGGTGTCTGTAGCACTGCCCAGCGGGGTCGCCCCTGAGCGCCAGCGGCGCCTCACCTGGCCAGGGGAAGCGGGGGCTGTCTGCGGTTTGGAGACGCGGCAGGCTGGGCTGGCAAACATGGAGAGAAGAGACTGAGCCGAGTGCGGGGGCTGAGGGGGCCTGCGTGCCCCTGCCCCCAGGGGTCTGAGGCTGCCTGCCCACATCGAACCCAGGCCCTGCTGTATCTCGGAGCAGCAGTAAACCCCCCCTCTCCTCCTGGCTGGCAGCACCCTACCTCGCTGCAGGATCGGGGGGCTCCTCGACACCCCCTGATGCTGAGTGTCCGGGCCTCTCGGTGCATTAACCCTGCTCTCGGCCGTGGCCTGAGAGGGTGGGCCAGGCATGCCCAGATGGCCCACGTCCTGCCCGCCGAGCCGAGACCCCCTGGCACTGCGGGACGGACCGGCCGGGAGCAGCCGCTGCGTGGCCAACACCCAGAAATGCTGCCCGGCTGCACAGGGCCTGTCTCCTGGTTTAACAGCCTTCCCCTTGCTCGGCCGTCACCGGGACCGGAGGGCGCCGCGCTGGTCCCCCATGGCCAGTGCCGAGCGGAGGACTCTTCCCCCGAGGGTACAGCCCCGGCCGGGTGTGCCCGGACCCGACAGAGCCCTGGCTCGCAGGAGGACCATGACGCTGCCTGGGCACTGCCCAGCGCGTGCTCCAGGGCACTGCGGGATCGGGGCCAGCGTGCTGGGTAGGGCCCGGCCAAAGGCACAGCCCGCTGGGGTCAGTTTCACAGGCCGGCGGTTGAAACCCACCGCTCAGGACCCCTGCGGTGTCACGGGAACGCGCGTGGTGCGGGGAGTGGCGGCAGCCCCGCCCACAAAGGAGGTGGGGGGGGGGCC